TAGAAGAGACACAGTTCTGAGAGTCTAAATCTCTTGAGACGTCTCCCTTCTGTGGGAGCAAAGGTCCTACAGAAGGTTTGCTGAAAAAATACTGACATAAGTCAGATTGATTAATAGGAGACAAAGCATACAAATCTATTTAATGTGTATACATGGGAACCTTCAGAATAAAAACCCAAAGATACAGGGAGAATTGTCAGTTTTTATGCTTAGGTTCAAGAAAGCATGGACAGCCATGTAGAAGATAGTTGGACAAAGAGGTGTGATCTAATGTTAATAGACGCGATGGGGAAACTCAGCAAGGCCTGTCTGTCCAGATTCTTCTTGGTCTCTGTGAGCATGCATCTCTTCTTTCTGGGTGCAGGGCAGGACCCTCTCTAGAATGGGGGTTTTATGACCTGCAGTCAAATAAGGCAGGTCAGATAATTTTCTTATAGTTAGTTTTTACACAGAAAGGCAGAAGAAAAATTGAGCAATATTTGTAAGTTTTATGACTAGCTTTGAAAAAAAGGAGTTCCATTTTCTCTGATCTGCCTTAGGGATGGGGGATTCTAGTTTCTAAAGCTGCCTTGAAGGACAATGGGACTGAGAGACAGAAGGCCAGAAGACAGAGATGAACTTTTGCGTAGGAGGTTTTCATTTGAGGATTTTGTTTTCTGAGCCCCGACATCTCCAACTGGCAATAACAGTGGTCTGTCTGGTTCTTATAGTCACAGATGATGCCCTGTGCAAAGCAAGTCTGAGCAGCCTACCTTTGCCATCACAAGAACCCTGCCTTGAAGGGCCTGGGCATAATCAGATGCCCTGGCTCACTGATTTTGCAAAAGGGGATTATAGCCTAGGGCAGTAGGATGACCTATGCAGCTGGTATCTCTCCTCCAGAAGATACCCACAAGTGTTTGTTCTCTCAAACAGTTACTGAATATCCTGTGGTACCTGGCTCAGTACTAGGTACTAGTCGTATATGCTAAATAAAACTCAGGTCTTAGTCTCAAAGTGCTCGTAGTTTCTTGAGAAAGAAAAACCTATTAATGATTATGGCAGAGGGTGGTAAGTGCTATTATGTGTTCTGCACAAAAAATGGTAAAAATTCTGAGGACAACTGACAGCCTGGGGAAGGATCAAGGAAGCCTTCTAAAAGGGAGGACAGCAGAGCCCTGTCTTGAAGCTGGAAATCCAATCTCTCTAGCATTGGCTCTCACATTTCTTCTCTGTTTCCTGACTAATTCCTAAGATCTAAACTTGCCAAGTCTTAGCTTATGTAACCTCCACCAGGACGCCTTCAATGGCCCTGCAAAGCTAGGATAGGTGATGCTTTTGTGTGCCTCATGAAGCCCTGCCAGTCAGCTTCACAATACCTTGTGAGCTCTTTTAGGTCAGGGACATTTTTCTACTTACCCCTATTTCTTTGGCACCTAGCATGGTGCCTGGCACACAGGTAGTAAGTACTTAATAGATATCTGTGAAATGACTGAAGGTTGGTGAAAAGTAGTTACTGAGGTGTGTGAAAGAGGAGGCTTGGGAGGAAAGTGGCATTACTGACATTATCAATAGAAGGAACAGCATAAACATATAACAGCAAAAAGCAGTTAAGTATTCTGTGTAATGAATGACAAATACTTCCAAGTTGCCGGAGCATACATTGCAAGTGAGAAAGTGGCAGGAGATAAGATTGGGAAATTAAGCAGAGAGTGTGCTTCAGTCTAATGGTAAATGAAGTCCCAAGCCCTCCTCCATTGATCTCTGTTTCCCTTCGGGAGTTTCTGGAGGATTGCCCATTAAAATTGACATCTGCTTAATGTGTACATGTTACAGATGAGCCTCCCATGTGACGCACAGAGATGCAATATTTCCAGAAGTGGAATTAGAAAATAAATATGTTGGTCTTAAGTGTAGCCCATTGTGAACCTCTGGAGGGCCTTCCCCAGAAAAAGAGTATTCATTTCAGAGGGGAACTTCATGCAAATTGGATTTGGGAATTTGGAACAACATGCAACCACAAATATATAATTAGCACCTAATTATGTTGCAGAATGGCTGACAAGACCCTGCTTGGCTAATAGGAGTTTCCAGCGCAAGTGTGTTTATGGACAAGGCCCATGATTGAAGATACACAGACACTAAATCATTTACAGTATAGTGTCTATGTACCCTGATCTAACCCAGTTTTGAGACTTAGTAGAGTATAATCTTTAGTGGGACAAGAGCTAACCTTAGTGATGATATTGGGAGAAACCATGGAAATCAGGCAGGTTGGTGCATTACGGTAGATCTGGATGAGGTTGTCAGAGGATCTGAATTCAGTTCCTTGCTCTGTCTGAAATGACTTCTGTGTTCACTAACAAGTCATGTACCTCTCTGACCCCCAGACGCTTTATCACAAATCAAGTTGTCGCTGAGTTCTTTTGAGAATAAAATGAGTTCGTGGATGTGGAAGTCTAAAATAATAAACAATTGTGGCATTTTCAAACTAATAAAAATCAGTGCTGAAACTGATGAAGCAATCACTTATGAGTACAGCCCAATGCCAGGGGAAGTAGGGAATACAGAGAAATAAAGCCTCTTGTTCCCACCTTTTCTTTTGTTTTACTTTGACAGTAAAGACAAACCAATATGTACATATAATAGAGAACAATTAAGCACTCACATTTAATGAAACCTGAGTTCAAATAAGAGAGTAATTATTGAGAGATGGAGTTGCTGAGGAAGGCTGCAAGCTGAATGAGTTTACCTTTTCTTTTTTCCTCCCTTTTCTTATCTTTCTCTATTCTCACTTTCAGAAAAAATCATCACAAGTCTCCACACTTACTCATCATAAAAACTCTCAGCAAGTCAGGACTAGAAGAGAACTACCTTAATTTGACAAAATGTACTCATGGAAAAACCTACAACCAATGTAATATTTAATGGTTAAATTCAAGGCTGTCTGATCTCCCACAGTAATTCAACACTTTACTGGAGGCGCTGACAATCCAATGAGGCATGAAAAATTAATAAATGTCATTAAGTTTAGAAAAAAATGTGCAGCTGTCTCTTACTGCAGGAAACATTATTGTCTGTAGAAAATGCTAAGGAAACTACAAAGATTAATAGAACTAATAGGTGAGTGTATCAAGGCTGCAAGATACAAAGTCAATATACAAAATTATTATAGTTTTGTATATTAGCAGAACATTTCAAAAATAAAAATATTTACAGTATCATTAAAAGATAAGCATATAACACTTAGGTATAAATTCAAGAAAATATACTCAACACCTGTATGCTTAAAACTACTAAAGATTGCTAAAAGAAAAAGACCTAAATAAATGCAAGATATACCATGTTCATGAGTTGAAAGACTCAATAGAAAATTATCCTCAGATTATATAAAATTTTAGAATAAGACAAAGTAATCTAGAATGGAAAAAATTTAAGATACTCTAGAGAAACAGAATTGCTGATTGATCAAGGAAAGGGTAGATGTATGCATTTACCAAAACTCATGAAGTTTTATATCTAAGAATTTTATGTTTCATTGAATGTAAATTTTATCTAAGTAAAGAATATAAATCGTGTTGATCATCTATCTATTTCTCCATCTATCTATACATACATACATTTGTGTGGTTGTATTTTAAATATACATATTTTTTTAGATATGACCATTGAGAGGGTCTAAAAGCCAGGACACACTAGTAGCAATGAGCACATTTTGAGCCCAAATTTTGATTTCTAAATATCATTCTCTGGTATAAAGAACTAAATCTCTTTGGAGAAACGAATGACTCCAGAGCTGAGGCAGAGGATCTATGAGCTGATCTTGGACATTTTATTGTTCTAGAAAGCAAGGACGATACATACACACACATTTATAATAAAGCAAATGGTCAAAATGTACATAAATGGTAAACCTGGGTAAAAGTTACAAAATATTTCCTTGTACTTTTCTAGCAATTTTTGTGTAAACTTGAAATTATATTACAATAAAAATTACCAAAAATGTTGAAGGGTAAATAAAACAAAAGTCATAATAATGGTTACATCTTTAGGGACAAGACAGAGCATATAGGAGCATATAAAGACTTCTGAGGTGCTTGGAAATTTTTATTACTTAATCTTGGTATTTTATACATGGTTATTTATCTTAATACTGACACAATCAATTTATACCTATTTCCATATACATAATTACCCTTATAAAATAAAAAGAGACACCAGTAGGACAACAAATTAGCATCCAAGATGACATTATTTACTTGTGATGAAGTCAGAGCCAAAGCCCAAATCCATCAAGTCTGTTTCCCTGCCAGGTGATAATATGGGTGGTGATAACAAAGTTAATATGTGGTTAGCTGGAGAACTCCAAACCCTGAACCATTCGTCTTTCTCTACATGGTCCTAAAGGGTATCACATGCACAGACAAATGCCCTGTTGACTCAGAAGGCAAGACTTTAATGCTGACCAGGTTCTTGAGCTCTAAACGAGTAAGCTAGGCTAGGTGGAGACCTTTCCTAGACCAGAGATGGCCAGGTCTGACAATCACAGCAAGCTAAATGGTCTTCTCCAGCCCAGTCTCCCTAACTCTATCAAAGTTTTGAATTGTGTGTGATCCTAGTGATGACAAGTTTTCACCAGAATTCCCCAGCTAGCAAGAGGAACAAAAAGTCTCTGTCAGTCTAGGCTTATTTATATTCTGCTAAAGTTTTTTTCATTTCTTAGCAAAGGCTGCCCAATTAGGTTTCTGGCCTTCAACCAAATAAAAATGATACTTAAAACCCTTGAGAATGGAGTAGAAAGTGAGTTGTGAGCCTGTTCTGGCCAATAGACAGTATTGTCTGTTTTTATTTGTAAGCTATCCTAAGCAGCCTACAATGAGACCACAGAGGTGGGTGTGCAACTAGAGATTCACCAGTAGTGTGAATATGAAAGTTTAATCAATTAGAGTCTGTGATATCTCGTGAATAAGTCCAATCATAGCATTTCTTTGTCTACTTTCTTTTTATGTGGCTATAAAAAGATGTCAACAGTGCATTTAAAGTTTCCTGCAGAGAGGAAATATGCAGATCACAATGAAGGTAAGAATATGCTCACAACCATATGTTTGTTCTCACAAAAATATGTGCCAATATAAGAAATGTTCCGTTTTGAAGTTTTTGGCACCATGTGGTGGTAGTGGGTTGAAACTTCCATGGTGGGTTCTTTTTTTCTTTTTTTTTCTCTTTTCATAGAATAGCTTTATGTTTTTCAATCTAAAGGTTTCTTTACTACCACCTCCTCCCTTACCTCCTCCCTGCTCCCCAACCTTGTTCCTTTGTATTAAGCACATTACAAACAATGTCATATTTCATATACTTAGAGACAAAGAACATGGTTGCTTAGCAACAAGGTCCCAGTTAAAATTTTAAGAATTCTTTTACTTTTACTTTCCATTTAGGGCAATGCTCAGGAAGCTGTTTTCAAGGAGATCCAGGGCTAGGAGAAAAAGTCTTCAAAAAATGTCTACCTAAAGCACACTGAGTAGTAGGAGGAGGACATTAATTAAGGGCTTGTTGTCACAATGCAAGTGGTATCGTCAGTGGCAATCAGAATGGAGAGAAAGGATTGGAGAGACTTGGCCTAGGGTGGGACAGAGAGCTTCACCTTTCCATTTTCCATCTGGTTCCGCTCACTTCTCCAAGATTTAACATGGGATTCAAATCAATTAGCTGAGAATGAAAAGCAAAAAGGGAAGCAGACCCACACTGTATCAGTCACTCGAAGTGATCTTGTTTTGAGGGTTTTAGTTATAGACTGGGAGTGGCAGAAGCTGAAAGCTTATTTTGTCTGTTATGAGGCCTCCCTAAAATATCTATCTCACCTTTATAGGATGACTATGTTTCAACTGACTTTTTAAATCAAGGCCATTTTCCCACATTATTAAATATTACATGAAAATCTGTCTTTTCAGAAACTTATGCTGTGGGTATTGCAGGATTGTCTTACCTATTGCTAATTATACATTTAGTTTATTCTGAGAAATTTGCTTCTATTAATGTTACTTCTATGAACTTAGTCTTATAAAACTCTCAGGAATTTTCCATAGAAGAGGTGGCTGATAGCAGAATTGATAGATCTGAAAAAGTCTTTTGCTCCCAGCTTTTCAAATATTCTTGATATCTGTAGGCTAATTGCTTCCAGAAAACTTGTACTAATATGCGAGTGAATATTTCCTGATTTGGTGGGAGATAACATGATGATTTATTTAGCTATTATTTGATTACTAGTAAGATTGTGTATATATATATATATATATATATATATTTGTTTAGATGCCATTTATTTTTTAAATGAAGTTTCTGATCATGTTATTGTCCATTTAGTTTCCATTTGAGTATTGTCTTTTTATTGTTTTATAAAGCTTATTACACAAACACACATACACACTTAATTCAGACTCAGGAAGCATCTTTTATACAATGACAAATGAAGGAAGGAGGGGGGGCATAACAGGAGGAACTAATATAAAGGATTTATATTTATGGTCATATTTGTTGAAAATATTTTTCTCAATTTATTATTTGTTTTTTACTTTATGGCTTTTATTCTGTTTTATTTTTGATGTGTGGATGTTTTGTGTGTTTTGATAGCAGACTAAGGAGCACAGTAGTGAAGAACAGACATTGGCATCTCTGATGCATTTGCATCTTGGCTCTAACATCTCTGTGATGTGTGGTTTTCACCAAATTACGTTAACCTTTTTCTGTCTTAATGTTCTTCTCTAGAAAATGGGCGTTTTAATAGCTTATGGGGACGATGAGATTACATCAAATTAAGACATTCAGAAAGCATATAGAATTATGCCTGGCGCACTGCCAGTGATGCCTGACACAGCACACCAAGCACTCAACAAGCTAAAGTAGCCAGCATCATGTAGCAAATATACCAACCTATTCCATTGTGATTTCTCCGATAGCTTTTATGTTCAGAAAGTCCAAATCTGTAGGAAAACTATAAAATGTGTATTAATCTCTTGTCTTATTTTCTTCATAAACTACTTATTTAGCTTAATTCTGTAACGCACCAGCATTATTGTTGGTCTATGGTAAGAAGTGAGTTAATTTTTCACCCAAATGTGAATTTTTTTTGGTCAATTAAACTTTCGCTTCTCATTTATTTGTATAATTCCTTTATCATTTACAAGTTTTTACATACACTTAGATCTGTTTCTGAATTATCTTTTCTGTTGTTTTGCCTTTTGCTTTCTAGTCTAGTGCCATATTGGAAAAAAATTAGTACAAGTCCATGTGAATTCTGATCTCAAGACTGTTAAGATTCTCTTAGCTATTTTTAACTGTGAAATAGTTCAGGTGGTTATCTGAACCATTTTAATATACTAAAAATGTGACTGAGATTTTGAATAGGATTATTCTTATCTATTAATTGATTTAGAGAGAGTGACAGTTTTAAAATACCTTTAAAAGTATTTAAATTTTTTCTTGCAAAATCCTTGCATCTCTCAATGGATTTTTTTAGTGTTTTCATAAAGCTTCCCACACATTTCTTGATATTATTAGAAGTTAATTTTTTCTGCCAATTGTAAAAATAATTTTCTCTTTTTGTACATCTAACTAGATATAGGGGGAAGCAAGAAACAGTCAAAGTTCCCAACTCGATCTGAGTTTTCTTCACTTCCAGTGCCTTTGTGTGTTATTTTTGTAAGATGTTTGGATTCTGAATCAGGGAATACTTGCCAAATATTATTGAACCTTGAAATGGGGATACTGTTTCTGAAAAGTTGTTTCTACTAATTAAACACATTTTTATTCTGTCTCAACTAAATGCTGGCTTGCTTGGTGATGATAGAAATGATTCCTGCTCTACAGCGCTTACATTACAGAACTGATTTAATGACAGCTATGGTAAATATTAGGAAGAATGGCTGGTGCACAAGTTGAGGGTCTAACTTGGGATTCACCCTCATGCAAGGTTAGAACAGGTCATCTCTAGGAAGATTTGACATTTGAACTGAGCTCTGAGGGATCCATAGGAATTAACTAGGATGTTCCTTACAGAGCAGTTGCCAGAACACAGGCAGCTGGAGGAATCAAGACAGGGCCTTTGCCGATTAATGCGGAAATGGGGAGAGAGGAGGGATAGGGCATTGGGTGAGACAAGTCATTGCTGGGAGGATCACAGTAGGGTTTTTATCCTTAAAAGAAAAACAAAAGTCACCTTGAAAAAAGTTAAAAATAGATAAACTATCAAAGTATCTAGTACAATGTACATATACATGTTTTTTTCTTGGAAACTGGGATAGTTCCCATGGTTATTTTGCCATGGCTCTTGAATAAATGGTTCTGTGAAAGTTAACTCTCTTTAGCCTAGAGGGAGGACAGTCTAGCTTCTCCTCCATATTTCTTGACAGAGGAGTTTGTTGCTCTAATCAAAGCCCAACCAGGCCAGCATCTGCCACAAGATGGAAAAGTATTGAAGGAGTCCTGTTTGCTGTTCTCTTGTCAGTACTGTCAGGAGCAAACCACAGCGCCTTTTGTTAAAGTGGCTGTGAAACACAGTTCTTCCTGGAAGTTCAAGGGTGATGAATCCCAAAAGGGCTTATAGAATGTCAAACTGCCAGCACAGCCCGAAGGATGGCACATTCTCTAATTGAGGCAAGAGAATTAGGGTAAGGTTTCCCAATTTTGGCTTTTTGAGCCAAGTAATTCTTTTCCTTTCTTTTTTTTTCCTTTTTTTTAATTGCATTTTAGGTTTTGGGGTACATGTGAAGAACTTGCAAGATTGTTGCATAGGTACAGACATGGCACTGTAATTTGCTGCCTTCCTCCCCTTCACCTATATCTGGCGTTTCTCCCTATGCCCTCTCTCCCCAACTCCCCACACCCCACTGTCCCTCCCCTGTTCCCCCACAACAGACCCCAGTGTGTGATGCTCCCCTCCCTGTGTCCATGTGTTCTCATTGTTCAACACCCACCTATGAGTGAGAACATGCGGTGTTTGATGTTCTGTTCTTGTGTCAGAGAGCCAAGTAACTCTTTATTGTGGCAGGCTGTCCTGTGCTTTGAACGGTGTTTTTCAACAACAGCAGCAGCTCTGGTCTCTACCCACTAGATGGCAGTAGCACCCTCGCCCGGTTGTGGCAACCAGCAGTTGTACCCCCAGGAAACAAAATCACCATGGGTTGAAAAACGCTGAGTTACAGATATAAAATTTCTTTCTTTCACAATTAAAACTATTATACTTTTTTATTTTTTGCTGTAAATTCACTTACATACTGCCACATTTAGCAAATCAGATTCCTAATTATCAAGGCTAACTCTCCTATAGTGTACAAAGCACTGCCATTTGTGTCTGCTATCCATTTATTTATGGAAACATTTATTAAACACCTGCTTTATGTAGGCACTATACTAATTGCTAGTGTTATACTCAAGGGAGACAACATTGCAAGAGGCCTAAACTACAGGGGGAGATAAAAACATGAGTATATCATAAGAGCCTGGTAGAAGTCTACTGAGAGGTGAAAAGAAGAAGAATGGGGTTAGAAGAAGTTAGAATCTTAGGGGGGGAGCTCCAAGGAAATATGAGGTCGAAGTGAAGCTCAGTGTGGAAACCTGAAACACGACCAAGTATTTTTCAGCTGATAGATTTGGGGAGTAGTTGGGGAGCTTAAGACTAACAACCATATATATATATATATATGTATATTATATTATCTCTTCTAGATTTAGTGGGTTAGTCATTAAGTCCCATCACATCTCTCTTTTGGGAGGCATTTCAAAACTATCCCTTAATTTCTCTGTCTGTTCTCGTTGCATTTGCTCAAACTCCTGTCTCCTCGCCTCTGGCATTAGTGTCTCAACTAGCGTGTTTTCTCCATGTCTTTCCATTGTATCTTGAGCAGTATATTCAAGCTAAAATTTAGAAACGTATTAATATAATATATAATACTATATATTATATAATATTACATATATAATAGTTTTCAGGGCGGGGGATGGAGTCTTGCTCAGGCGCTGAGGCTGGAATGCTGTGGCGCGATCTCAGCCCACTGCAACCTCTGCCTCCTGGGTTCAAGTGATTCTCCTGCCTCAGCCTCCAGAGTAGCTGGGATTACAGGTGCCTATCACCACACCTGGCTAATTTTGTATTTTTAGTGGAAATGGGCTTTCACCACATTGAGCAGACTTCTCTCAAACTCCTGGGTTCCAGTGATCCATCTGCCTCGGCCTCCCAAAGTGCTAGTACAGGCATGAGCCACTGTGCCTGCCCACACCATATTTTAAGACATGTATTATAATCATCTGTATCCAGGATAATCATCTGTATCAAGGATGAGAAACCTCAAAGGTTAAACATTGAGCTTAGGGTCACTTAGCCAACACCAAAGTTAACCTGTCAATTTCACTCTTCCCTGGGTTAACATTGTTTGCCTTTTCTAGTCAAACTTAGTAGCATAAGAAAAATTCAGGAAATACTCTTAACAAATAATTTTTAAAAACAACCTCCAATGATAAAAAAATATAATGCTTTCTTATATCTGTATATTTCAAAGTGCACATTCACAAACATTATCTCTTGTGATTCTTCTACAAACCCTATCAGTTAGAAAGGGGGAGCATTAACGTCTCTGCTTCATGGAGAGAAAGAGCACTCTCAGGGAGTGTGTTTAGGTAGAGCGCTCACAAAGCATGCCTGCCTTTCTCAGCATGGATATATAGTTCCCAGAGGGCAATGTAATGGTTCCTTGTATTTTAGCTTGTCATTGTATTTTAGCACCAGGATACTGCCATCATTTTCCTATCCTTGAAAGCAGTTCAATTTCTGCATTTAGAACTGAAATTATAGTGTCTCAAAGCTAAATTTAAAAGAACAATTTACTGCTGTCCCCATGAA